TCCTTTTGTTAGTCTATAAATCTGGCTCTAGCCTGCTCTGCAGACCTAGAACCAGAACTAAACATGGAGAAGCAGCATTTAGTTCCTATGCTCCACTTATCTGGAACAAACTTCCAGAAAACTGGAAAAGTGCGGAAAGCCTGAGTTCCTTTAAATCAAGACTAAAAACACATTTGTTTAGGATTGCCTTCCACTAAAATAGTTAAACAGTTCAACTAAAACATCATTAGTGCAACTTTTTTATTTTCTTTAGTCCAACAGTTTTTATTATTCTTTTTTGTTTCTGCATTTTCTATTTTATTTTTTTTATTTTTTCCCCTTCTTGCTTTGATTCTGTTTTATTTTCCTATATTTTAATCATGCAGAGCACTTTGCATTGTCTTTGTACTGAATTGTGCTATACAAATAAATTTGCCTTGCCTTGCCTTGCCATCGTACAACAACCCGTTTCAGAAAGAAAGCTTGGAGCTCCGCCCAGCAGATGACGTCAGACCAGCTCCACCAATCAGCATCCAGAGTCCACTATGACATCCTGCCCAGTTTGATGCTGCTGCTAAAATTTCCTTATTTGTCAAACCGATGCTAAAGTAGAACTTCCCATGATGCTCCACATTCCTCATTTTAGGGAAGACAGGACTCCTTTTAAGAGTTGTCATAAAATACAACTTTTTCTTGTAATTTTTCCAATCAATTCTCGTAATGTTATGACTTTATTCTTGAAATAAAATACAAAAAAAATCTAGCCTGGCCCTAATACTCCGTAGTAACTCCACTAACCTATTAAAGGAAAATTTTTCTACATTTCTGGATGATAACTTCCTTAGACTTCATTTTCTTAGTTTTATAACTAATGGTAACAGTGTCACAATTAAATTTGCATCATCTTAAAAAATTATTAATTGGTATTTTAAAAAATAAAAACCATCAAAATAATTAGTTTCATCCAGACAATTAATTTCTTTGTGGTTGGACTCGGTGCTACCCCAACTTGTTACTCACCACAGACCAAAATAAATAGTCTTTTACGATGATGCAAAGATAAATGTGACGTTTTTACCATTAGTTATAAAACTAAGAAGTCTAAGAAAGTTATCGTCCAGAATTGTAGAAAAATGTTCCTTTAATAGGGTAGAGCAGTAAAGCTTCTGGCCTTAACAGTTTTTCCTGCATTACTTTAACTTTTATACATTTAAGTAGTTTTAAAAATGTTACTTTTACACTTTTACTGGAGTAAAAAGCTGAAGTTGATCCTCTAACTTCTACAAAAGTGTTTCTAAACAGCAGGATTTATACTTCTACTAGAGTAATAAACATTAATACTGGTGGAGCGGATTGTTTTTTTTTTACTTTTTAATTTTTTTTTAAACTTTTAACAGTTAACAAAAAATAAACAGAATAACATAAATCCAAGCATAACTCAAAACTGAAGGTGAAAACTAAGCAGAATCAAATATTGAAGAATAGGTGATCATTACAAATTATTTTGAGGATATTTTATTTTACCTTGTTTTCTGTTTCTTCTTCTTATTTTTCTGACGCGGTTTAGTTCTGCTCGACCAGAAAAGGAGTTCAGCAGTCGGCTGCGGTTCTGGCCAAAGACGCCCGATTCATCATGAGCTACGAACACAAGCAAAGGTGCAGGTCTTTCCCCCCTGGATTAATCATTCAATAACAATATGGCAGTTCTGTTGGCCTTATGAGATCTGACTGACTTTGCAGGTTGATGAAATATGCAAACTCCATCCTGGATACAAAGCTCAGAGGTAATGCATATATTTAATACGTTCACAGGTTTGGTGGTCTGCTTTTTAGTAAATGCAGATCCAGTCTTTGATAAATTTAAAGCACTGACAAGTTCTCTTCTTTTGCAAAACTATTCACACCATTTGAACTCCTCCACAGTTTATTTACAACCACAAACCTAATTTAAAGGTCATAGCTACAACTCTTTAATGTTATTTTCTTTAAAAGAGCGCATACTTGCTGAAGGTCCAGAGTGCTTCACAATGAATTATAACGTTTTCTGAAAGAAATAAAAAAAATGCTTATAGGAATTGTTTTGATTTCTGCAATAAAGGTTGGAGGGTTTAAAATATATACATGTTTACTTCTGGTTATGAAGTCACTTATTTAACCCCCCCAAAAAATTGTGTTTGGCTTGTTTTCCAGATCTGATGATGTTAGGAGTTGGTTACCACCATGCAGGCGTTGACTTGTCTGACAGGAAGCTGGTAGAAGAAGCCTTTACCCTGGGAGACCTGCCTGTCCTTTGTGAGAGCAAACATAGATGACATTTTTTATTTTTTATGACTCAGGAAATGTTAAAGGCACACTATGCAACATTTTTCAGTTAATTAATGTGTTCCATAACGTTATGGATGATTAAATGAGTCATTTCAGG